AAAAAAACAATTATACAAAACCAACAAGTTTTATATTCAATCACGATCCGCTACAAAATTATGAATGTTTTACAGATTATATCAACCGGATAAAATTATACAAGTTTTACAGATTATTCCAACTTTAAAATTATGAATGTTTACATTAAATATCAATTTATATTAATTTTTATTTTAAATGTTATGTTAAAATATGATTTTAAATGTTATGTTAAAATATGACTCCCAACGGCGCCTTCTGTAGTTGCTTATCCATTCTGTGCGTGGAGATTGGCAGCCACGCGCCGCGAATACTGATCAATACAAAAGCTGGATTCCAAGTTGACAGCTGGCAACTTTTAAGGATATTAATTGAAGGTCCGTTCGATATAAATTGGGGTAGGTGATGAAGACTAGAGTGGTGGATCCATCCAAAAGTTTCATCTAAAGTTTTAAAATGCTCCCTAATACACGGTTGACACATGTTAATATGTCCACCGCTTATTTGACATGCACACATTGGTGATTTTAATATGTTCGAAAGAATACATTACTAATGTGTACATACCACATAAACGGTTGACATATTAACTGTCGGTAGGGAAACATTATCCCAAAAATATATATGTATCATATTTTCTATATTTGATGCTAAACAAATTTTATCTGATATACATTTATAAGTTATTTTGTAAAATAATTATTATTTTTCTTTTACATAGTAATATGATTGTGTAACCCAATGTTGTTAAAAGATGATCACCTTATATATAATGCATAAACAAAAAGGTATAAGGTAAAAAATCTATTTAAATTTCATAAAAAAGGCCATGGGTATTTAATTAATTTGAAAAATGAAATAGATAAATAGTAGATAAAGAATTTTAGATTTTAAATGCGTACAAATTAAAACGAAAAACTAAAAAAAAATGTTTTATTTAGTAAAAAAAAATATTTTTATCAATTTTTGTTTTTCCTTGCTTAGAATTAATTTCTCATTCAATATAAAATAGTTCTGGAAATTTTTCAAAATCTTTCATTTACAAAAAATAAATTGTAAAATTGATAAAAATTCAATTTCCACTACATTGACCACCTCAGACAAGATGTTGAGGGACGACGTGGAGGAGCTTCACCATTTAAAAGTCGCAACCTGATACTCAATATTTTGCCACTATATATGTGTTGGAGTTGTCATCGAAATATGTTGCGGTAGGTTAATGGTGTCGACTGGAGTTGAGAGAACGACTGGAAGACCATGAAAGACGACTAAGAGCTGCTTATTGCCATGAAAATGAAGATCTCAAGGATTTTTCTTTTTGTCCAAAGGCTACCCGGGCAAGGAACTTGGCTCGCCTCATGAGTTCCCACTCGGCGACATACTACAATCGACTTCGATGAAACCTTCGCACTTATTGCTAAGATTGAGTCCATTCTTTTGTTGCTTGTTACCTAGGAATTTCTCTTCACCAAATAGATGTTAAATGTGCTTTTTAGAATGAATTTATAAATAAAGAGGTATATGTTTAGCAACCTAAAAGATTTTAAGATCCTTTCAAGCCTAACTATGTTTTGAAACTAAAAGCACCTCTTCTTGGTATGAGCGATTGACAGAACATCTCTTACAAAATGGTTTTGTAACGCCCCGTTTGTTTATGAATAATTGAGATTATTTATTTTGCATAATTGTTATTATTATTATTATTATTATTATTATTATTATTATTATTATTATTATTATTATT